AAGACCATATCAAGGGTTTAATTCTCTTTAAAAAAAAAAAAAAAAAAAAGACAAAGTTTCCAGGAGTGCCCTGTGGTCTGTTAGAGATGCAGCCCATCCCCTAGCTGCCCAGAACATTAGTCAGCGACTCTGGCCTGGCTGTGTTCAAGGGGGTTCCTAGAAGCTGGAGGTTTGAGGTGTTGGGGGGGGGTGGTAAGTATCAGGGGAGGGCTGGCGCCCCACCCACACCTCAGCCTGCAGGGCCACCTGATCCGTGAGCCGTGTTTGTATATCTGGGTCCCCCACGAGCTTTTGTTTGGGGGAGATGTAAACAGTGCCATAAAAAAGAAAAGGAAAAATGTGAAAAGGGAGAATGGGATCCCACCCAACTCCTCATACTACAAAAGAAAACTGAGGTCCGAGAGGTGAAAGGGCTTATTGAGAGTCACACAGCTGGTGGAGCCCAGACTGGAATTGACCTCCGATATTGTGTCCAGTCAACATCCGGCCCCTCTGTCTGTCCTCGGGTCTCGCCTGGCCGCGTTTCCTGACGGGCACCACGCGTACGCGACGCAGTGAAGCAAAGGGCAGCCCGCCCTGCGGGGCCAGCGGGGCCAGCGGGGGCGGGGACAAGTCAAGTCGTGGAACAAACACGCGCCATGTGCCGCCGGGATGCAGCTCCGAGCAGGGCCCGTGGGATCTGGCCGGCCTGAGGGCGCGGGGAAGGGGCAACGCCCGGGAAGGGGGCAGGAGCCAAGCCGAGGATGAGAGGGGGGAGCCGGCGGGAAGCGCGGTCTTGCGGTCACCCGGGGCGGCGCTGTGACAAGCGTGCAGCACGGCCCCCGGAGCAGTTCCATTCAGGGAGAGGGCGGCCCTTCCAGTGCAGAGCAGCTGCCCACGCTGAGCTCTCTCCGCACGTCTGATCTCTTTTTACGTTTTCAACCCGCCCTGCAAAGCAAGCGGCATCATCTTCTCACAGACGGGGAAACTGAGGCTCAGCCAGGTTCACACAGTAGCTGCTGGTAATGGGCAGGGCCAGAATTTGAGTGTGCACAATCTCTAAACCCAGGCTCTTTCCACAATCCCTGACTGTTAACGTGAGCGAAAGGAGACTGGAATTCTGAGTGTCCAAGCTGCTGTATCTAGAAGGTTTTTTCCTGCTGAGAAACATAACTCCACATGGGTCCTGACTGTGAAAAAACACAGTTCTCTCATCGTTCTCCGTGTCAAGGGCTGCATGTGAACTAGGAACTGAGGTCGGTGGAGGGACAGCCAGCTGACCACGTGGTCAAGGCGGAGGTGTTGGGAACCACAGAGAATGACAGGGACCCGGAGGGAAGGAAGGAACCCTAGGTGGGGGGAGGAAGTCCCTCCTGCCTTCTCAGCAGTGATCATCCCCATCTGGCAAACACACATACACATATACACATACACCATGCATGCATACCATGCACACACAAATACACATGTGCACACACTATGCATGCACACACACATACATACACACACACACACACGCTAGCCCATTCCAGGACCACGGGCCTCCCCTGAGACCTGCAGGAATTAAGGCCAAGGTCAGTCCAGGGTCCTATTTTTAGTAGCCAAACTGCAGAGGTACAGCAGCTCTGCCCCCCCAGCAAAGACAGGGAAGGGAAGTGCAGGGCTCAAGCAGGGAAGGGACCCAGCCCCAATCTTGCCTCTTTGGTGTAAGGTGTCCAAGTACACAGAAAACTCCAGAATGCCATCATGAATAAATCTAGCACTTTCTCCCTGCCCCTTAGTGGACAGGTACCCAGCTCCTGCTCTGCTTTCTGATTTCACCAAGGCTGACTCTAGCCTGGGGGAGGGGGGGGAATAGTTCATGTGACCCAGGCTGACCAATTCAGTCACTGCATTCCCTGGTCAGTGATTGGTTCAAGAATGGGCATGTGACCCAGGACGAGCCACTGAGAGCCTTTCTTGGACATTTGTGGGAGTTCATTGGCAAATTAGCTTACAGCACCCTCTTTCCTGGGATCACTGAGCTCATATGATGAAATTCGAGAACTGCAGGCAGCCATTTTACTGCCAAGGTGGAGAAAGCCTGCTGGAGAACAACATCAAAAGAGAGCAAAGCAGATAGAAAACGCAGAGGGCAGGAGGGCAGGGGAGACCATGTTGGAATGAAATCCTTTGAATCCCTGGATCCAGCTATACCTGAAGCTGGAAAACTTTGTTAAGGTATAAGAGCCAATCAGTGACCTTTCCTGCTTACGACAATTTGAGTTGCTGTCACTTGTAACCACCACCACCAACTTGGGTCTCAGGCATCTTCCTCTTATAAAGCTACCTGACTCTCACATTGATTCTTCCATTCTCCTCTGCTGACATACAGACTCTCCTACTATCCTGTAGTCTCAGAGCAGAGACTTCAGATCTCTGTGAAACCCCTACTAAGCCCAGCATGGCTCTGGCCACCTGGCAGAGACCCAGGGACTGTCTGTGACTGGTAAAGAACAGAGCCAGTGTTCTCCTTTGGCAGGGCAATAAAGAAAAACCAAGCCACTTGAGTCTGATGTTCTTCGAAAAGAAAATTGAATCAGGACCAGAGCCACGACCGTGGTGGCCAGTTTTGGGGTCAGGGCTGTCCTTGTGTGCTACTCTCTACCCCCAGTGACTTCAACTGGGTCTAGGGCTCCAGAGTAACAGCAAACTCAGCCCCAGGGTAACAGAGAGAGGCAGAAATAGCAAGTTAAGTCATATGCTGGCTGCCACGAAGGTCATAAAACAGATAACACTGCAGGGGAAACACGCACCAGTTATCAGACGGCTGGAGGACCCAGGACCCATCTGGGACTTGCCGGAACCATGAGAACTAAGGGATCCTGTGGCTACTGGATCACTGGTGCTCAACTGGAACAGTGTCTCTTTGGACCCACTTTATTCCAGCTGGATTTTCTCGTTGGGTTCACACGCCAACAGTGTGCATGGGCCAGTGGGCCTCAACTTAACATACTCAGTGCTCCCTTTTTATTCTAAAATGAAATTCATTTATAGCCCACTTACATACCATTATTTTTAAAAAAGCAATTTAATGCTCAAACTGAAATATAAAGGAGAAATGAGAAGAAAGTGGTTTTTTTAATACATGTATTTCAATTTGTGACCGCTCACGCATGACCGCACGAGGAGTCGTAATGAAGTCGTCAGAGTAACAAGTTTGCGCTTAGGAGAAGTGAGAGGATCAGAGGCCATTCCAAAGGAGACGCAGAGGAAAATCAAAGAACAGAGTGAACACTAAGTAACAAATTAGCATTGCATGAAGGAAGAATTGATGCGATTTTGTAGAACTGAGTTCTACATGAATGTCAGGGGAACACCTGCAAGTCGTGAGACGTGGAGGGCACTTCACGGTCGGACGTGCCGAAGCACTGCTGGACATCAGCTTTCCTGGACTCTGTCCACCAAATGCCAATAGTGTTGTTTCTGATGGTTGCAACAACCAAAAACCGTGCCCTCCATTTGTGCGATGCCCCCTAGGGGCAGAAGCAGCCCCATTGAGGACTATGCAGGTAGGCCGTGGGGACATGGAAGGCCAGAGGCGTTGACCCCCAGACTTGAGCACGACAGAGCTTCAGGAAAAAGAGGAGGTGGGAAGTCTCGGGGAACCCTCTCTCTTCTCTCTGACATCACCAGGCTTTGTCCCCAGGGACCAGAGTGCACACCCACCCAAGGATGCACCTCCTCCTGCCCTGGGCTTCCCCCACATGCAGAGCCCGGGCTGGGGGCAGCCGGAGCAGGAGGCGAAATCTGAGCCTGGGAGGTCTGCCGGGCTCAGGTGTCTCAGGGCCTCCGGGTTCGCATCCTTTTGCTTCTCAGTCAGGTTCCCCTCATCTTCCATGCAGTCCCGAGGGAGCCAGACACCCCTCCAAACCCTGCTGCTCCTGTCAGCCAGGCCCACCCATGTACGGGTCAGCCAAACTCGGGGAAACAGCAACATCTGAACAGAATGTGGGGAACCCCGGGGCTGGGGTGGTAGCAGGTGAGGATGCAAGTGCTCATTCGCATATCATTTGTCAACAGTGCCCTGGGGGATCGCCTCACACTCCCCCAGCCTCTCCCAACCAGGCCTGTTATGTCCACATCCTCTCACCCGATGGGGACAAGGGCTGCAGGCCAGCAGGAGCTTGGGCATCAAGAGGGTACAGACTGTAGCAATCCCCTTCCAGGTGGGGGTAGGTGTCGTGAGACAACAGAGGCCTCTAGTTAGCCACAGCCGGGTACACAGAGGCCTGCCTGGCCCCACACCGGCCTCCAAAGCCGACTGGGCATTCAGCCTGCAGGGCATCCCCTCTGCCCACCCAGCCTCGCGGCACCAGGAGGGAGCTCCTGCACATGCAGCGTGCACAGGACACCCAGTTCACATCCCACTCCGCGGGCAGGTTCTCGGGTCGGCACGTGATGTAAGAACCTGCATGTATCCAGAATCACTCTCTAAAACCTGCCCTTGCACAGGCACCCCGTTAGAGATCAGCACACAGACCCTCAGTCCACCCAACACCGCGGGTTTGTTCTCCAGTGTGGGAACAGATCTCTAGTTCTTCAGCTGGGGTGTCCATGAGGGACGCTCACCCTCAGAGCCACCACGTGGGGAGGCCACGTGTCGGTGTTCCAGCAGACAGACACCAACTGCCAGATCTCAGGGTGAACCAGCCTTCGGAGGATTCCAGCCCCCTGCCCTTGAACTAGCCCCGCCTTCAAATCTTCCTGGGGAGGCCCCAGACATCATGGAGCGAGATAAGCCATCCCCACACAGCTGTGTCTGAACTCCTGACGCATGGAACGGGGAGGAAAGTTTGGTATGTTATGCCTAAGGGCACTGTTTGGTGTGCATTAAGGGGCAGCCAATTTGTGTGTATCTTTAAACATTTCAATCATGCTCCGCCTGGCAAAAGACTCACACTAGAAGAAGCACACCAGCACCCAAACCGACCAGGGAAAAGCAGAATCAAACACACACTAATTGGGGCATTAGCTTGGAGGCCAGGGGCAAAGCCCCGCCATTTAAATTATTTGTCCTAATGGAATGTGCGTAGATGAATTCTTGGGTTAAACGCATGACGGATTTCACCAGAGGGGCTCCGGAGAGACTTGTGGCTTGACAGACAATAAGCTGAATTCTCTGGAAGGACATCCCAGGGTTGGTATGCGATTATCCATTGCAGCCAACAATTAGTGAACTCAGAGGACAACCCTTGGTTGTCCTCCTTGGCGAATGAGTGACGGGCCCTGGGGACAGCTGTGCCATGTCAGATGATGGTGCAGCCACAGCAGTACCGCTCAGGGTAGTCTACCACATACACCCTGTGGTCGGTGCCATAGATGTAGTAGACAGAAGTCTTCCCTTGGTACCAGTAATGGACTTCTGTGAGGGGGATCAGCTCAATGGTCTGGCGCTGAGGAAACAATTGACCAAGAAAAACTTCAGCGTTCTGTTCAAGTCACTCACCTGCTCAAGAACCTTCAGTAGCTCCCTAGTACCTGTGGGATGAAGTTCATGCTCTGGAGTTGGCATTTTGGCTCCAATCTGCCTTTCTAGATGTATCTCCTACTATGTTTCTTCACATACCCTAAGCTCTAGCCCAAACTGACTTCTCATCTTTAGCCATCATCTGATTCTAGATTTCATGAAGTAGGGGAACAGGCATCCCCAGGGGAGTTCTAGGATATATGAAAAGCCACCAGCTAAACAGGACACCTTCCAGAAGCATTAATTTTTAGATGAGAGTGTGAGAGGAGTGGCATAGAAAGGTGGAGGATAAAGTCATTTTAAACATTTTTAATATTAAAACAACCATGGAGATATTAGGAAGTAGACTATACAATCTGAATTAAATTTTAAGATAAAACGTTGACACCAAAGAAATCTCAAAGTTTAGTGTGCTAGTTCAGGCTATTTTCTCAGACCCCTCCCTCCTCCCACTCTCCTTTGAGAAAAATCTTTCTCAAATATTCCCCTCCTTTTACAAATGGGGAAACTGAGGCCCACGGGCTCTTGGAATTTGGGTTTGGAGGATCACCCAGGTCAAGCCTCATCTGTTTAATGCTCACATCTCCTCCCCAGCATCCCCCTCTACTTAAGAACCTGGGGCACTCACCACGCCATCCCCGGATGATCCTAAAGTATCTCTGTCTCTGGCCCCTTCTCTGAGCAGTTAACAACCTTCCAAAATCGCGGGGCCCTGAACAGAACATAGCAGCCCCGCCTTGGAGAGAACACTGGCCTCCTGTTGAGACACCCATCTCCATCAGCTTGTGGTGCTGTTTTGTTAGGGACCACTAAGCACACAGTTGATGTAGGAAAGTTACTCCTAATCATTGAAGTGAAGCTTTCTTGGGGGCAAACTGTGGGCCAGCCTCTTTGTCAAAACCCCTAAGTTCTTCTGCACCAGCTGCTCCCCTGTCCCAGACTCAGATTTGGGGATCCTAATCCCAGCGGGAGGTGGCGTGGTTGGCCCAGAGTCAGACCCTCCTACTTGCAGGATGTTCCCCTTCTCAGGAAAAGAGCCCCAAGTCCTCCCGCGGTGGGCGATGGTCCAGAGGCCCCAGGGCAAAGGGGGAAGCGGGCTTCCTTCCCTACTGGAGGGGCGGCTGAGGGGCAGCGTGACACTGTGGCGGGAGGGGGACCCAGAGTCAGGGCATGCGTTTTCTGTGAAGCTTTCTGTGTGGCCTCGCACTTCCTTCCTCTGGGCCTCGGTTTCCTCATCTGTGAGGTGGGGATAAAAACTTCTACGTCACAGAGCTGTCGACGACCAAATGAGGCCATGAGACTGAGTTTTCTTCGTATGGCGGAAACTGGGCTCCAAGTGATAATTTTTAAAATAAAAGGTAGAAGACCCCTCTTGGTACAGAGGACCCAAAATGGGAACTAGGAGGCAAGAGGAGATGGGAGCCAACATCACTGCTCAGAAAGCCTGGACAGTGGAGTCAGGACCACTCTTGTCTCCAGACTTTTCTTCTAAGATCAAATGGCAAAGCAGAGCAACACCACTCCCACCCCCACCTGCCTCCATCTGCTTCTGATTGGAAAGGTCTCTGAGTTTGAGACCACAGGTCGGAGGTTATCTTGGGAGGGGCCGTTTATCTGTCTGTGCACCTTGGTCTGTGCACGCCCCCCCCCACCCCTGATGAGCAGATCCAGCTCTGAGGGTAGCAGCCAGGGCCCTGGGTCACAACAGCTGTCTCCTCCTGTTGGATTCTACTCGCTAACTTCTCAATCCTGAACAAAATACCAGCAGGAATCTTTGTCTACACAGCCAGGACCAAAGGACAATTTAGGAAGGAGATTCACAGAAATGGCCTGTTCTCCCATTACGTTCCCCTGGAAAGAAAAATGTGCGTCTGCCCCGGTTTACCCTCCCTGCTCCAGGACTGGTTCATAAATGGTTGTGTTGCCTGAGACAGGACTATGTTATAGGGGAAAAGTCCCGGGAGACCCGGGTTCTAGACGGAGGCCTGCCCCTTAGGTCTAGATCTCGGGCAGGCCCTTCCCCTCTGCCCAATGAAGAGTCCAAAAAGGATGCAAATTGTCAGCCTCGGAAGCGAAAAAGTCCCAGGACAGCCACTAGTGTCCGCAAGTAGATGCCTCAATATCGCAGCCCTACACTGTCACCCATACCATAGGGCACTAATGCTGCACGAGCAAGCTCCCTTGGAGACGGTTCTGGGGTCTTCTGTGGACCTTGTTCTCGTCCTCCCCAGGTTCCCTCGGATCTGCTTCTGCACACCCACCCCGGCCCGCGGCTACGCGCTCTGCTGCTCACAGCTCAACTTGCTTCTTCCGAGTCCCGCCCTTGAGAGACGGGGGCTCCTCCCACACGGGGAGCAGAAAGCGCCTGGGAGGCTGCGCCCGACCACTGGAAGGCGCTGAAGAACAAAGTCCGGCTCCCCCGCCTCCAGGTGCGAGCCGCGGAGGTTGCCTGACCTCAGAGCTCCCGTCGGTGGGCAGAGGCTGGCCTCTCCGTCTTCCCGCCCCGCCTCCCCCACCCCTTTACAGGCTTCTCCCGGGAGCCCGTCCTTAATAAAACACACACAAACCCTTGTCTCAGAGCTGCTCCTGCGGAGCCCAACCCAGGGCCCCGTCCCACCCCTCCTTTCACAGATGAGGACATCGAGGCTCCAAGCCGAGAGTGAGCACCAGAGCTGGGAACAGGAGCTAACCTGGAAAGTGACTTGTCCCCGCAGTGTCTGGCACCGTGAAAAGGGCCCCAACTCCCACCCTCAGCTGATCTCCCTGCAAAGCCACGCTGTCTTTCCAAGAGGCGCTTGTGTGTCTTGAATGCTTGAATAACAGCATTTGGCTTAGAGTTGGGAACTTTGGGTTCTCGCCCTGGGCTCTCCCACTAAGAAGCTGTGTGACCTTCGGTAAATTACTTGCACTCTCTGTCCTCCTCTGATTTATTGGAAAAGTCATGGGTTTAGACGAGACCAGGGATAGCTGAGGATGGCCCATAGGCCAAAGACGGCTGACAACCCATACAGTGTTCTCAGCATTTTTAAAATTTTGTCCTCAACACTGAAAAATCGTAAGGTTTCGTATAAAAATCTGGACTTCAGACGGTCTGAACTCTCTGCCCCTGTCCTACATGAAGCTGAGTGGTGGCCCCCCTTTCAGTAAGGGGGCTCTCCCACCCACGTTCCCACCCGGCCTTGGTAGGCCTGTGTTTGCAGTGCCCCGATTCATGATTTCTGAGGTCCATTCCAGCTCCGAGATGGTCATTACTAATTTTAAATCAAATGCCTCCCTCTCTCCCTTGCAAATAGGGGAGGTGTGCAGAGAGAGAAGGGGAAATACTAATACTTACTAGAAGGAAAAGGGACGTTTTCAGCACCAAGTTCCAAGCACTTAAAGCAAATTACCTCATCCCTACCGAACCCTCTGAGGCGGGGCTAGCAGCTCCTGTTCGCAGGTGAGAATCTGGTCTTTGAGGAGGAGGGTGTAGCTGGCCCAGGACCACATTGGGACACGGGAACCAAGATCTGAGCCCAGTCTGTAAGACTCAGGCCCCCGCTGACAGACCCCCTCAGGGGGCTCTGGCGCTGGGCGTTCCCTGGCCAAACCCCCATCTTCCTTCCAGGCCGCCCCTCCCCCCGCCGCTGCCACAGCGACAGCTCAGAGCTGCTCCTGGGGACGCGACAGGCACTACCGCCACCTGGTGGCCATCAAAATACAGCACCAAAGCAACCTTCGCCGGGGCCGCCAGCGCAGCCGGTGGAGGCTGGGGGAAGACTGGCCTGGGATTCGAGGAGCGCCCTGAGGGGCAGGACGCTGGGTTCCAGCGCTGCCTACGACCCGGGGTCTCGAGCTTTCCCTTCCCCTCTGTGAATACCAGGGGGTTGGAATCCAAATCACACGGAGCCACATTCCTGCTCTGTCGTTCTCGGGCTAGAAACCCAAATCTCTCACGTGTCCAGTGGTCCCCCCTGCCCTGAGGACCCCGCTCGCTCACCTGCTGCAGGACTCGCGCTCGGGACGCCAGGGCTGCGCTGTGTTCGGTGATGCCCCGCCAGGAGGCCAGACAGATCTCCCGCAGCGGGAAGTCCACGATGGGGTACACCTGGGGGAAAGATGCGGACCACCTCGCCGGCCTGGCCAGAGCGCAGCACCGGGAGCCTTGCACGCTGGTTCAGACGGAGAAGGAGCCCGGGGAGGGAGGCGCCCCGAGGACGCGCAGTGAGCCGGTGGGACTTGTTAAACCTCAGCCGACCCTTGATCACCCACATCCAGCCTTGGAACTTCCAACAAAAAAAGGGGGGCTGTAGACAGAGAACATACTCCTTCATGTGAAGCCCACTCCTCCCCCAGCAAGCCTAACTCGGGCTTGGGGTGGGGTGCAAGCCTTCCTAGAGGGGTGATGCCTGAAGTGAGCCTTTAGGAAGTCGGAGTGGTTGGGGCAAAGAAAGGAGGCTGAGGAATATTATTCAGCCATAAAAAAGAAGGAAGTCCTGCCATTTGCAACAACATGGATGGACCTTGAGGGCGTTATGCTAAGTGAAGTAAGTCAGACAGAGAAAGACAAATACCATATGATCTCACTTATACGTGGAATTAAAAAAATAAAGTGAGCTCATAGATACAGAAAACAGACTGGTGGTTGTGAGACATGGCAGGGACTAAATGGGTAGAAGTGGTCAAAAGGTACAAACTTCGAGTTATAAGATAAATAAGCCCTGGGATGTAATATACAGCATGGTGACTATAGTTATAACACTGTATTGCATATTTGAAAGTTGCTGAAAGAATAGATCATAGGGCTGGCCCCGTGACTTAGCGGTTAAGTGCGCGCGCTCCGCGGCTGGCGGCCTGGGTTCGGATCCCGGGTGCACACCGACACACCGCTTCTCGGGCCATGCTGAGGCCGCGTCCCACATACAGCAACTAGAGGGATGTGCAGCTATGACATACAACTATCTACTGGGGCTTTGGGGAAAAAATTAAATTATTAAAAAAAAAGAATAGATCATAAAAGTTCTCATCACAAGAAAAAAATTGTAACTATGTATGTGTGGTGACAGATGTCAACTAGACTTACTGTGGTGATCATTTCACAATATATACAAATATCCAATCATGTTGTACACCTGAAACTAATGTTCTGTCAATTATATCTCAATTTTTAGAAATTCGTATTACAAAATGAAAGAAGCCAATCTGAAAGGGCTACATACTGTAAAAAGAACAAAAGGTGGCTAAGCACTTGGCCCACTTAGAGAAACAGCACGAGGACCCTGCTCAGAGGTCCCATAAAGGCCAAATTCCCTGCCAAGGCCTACAGCAGGGGTCGGCAAATCTTTTCTGTAAAGGGCCAGAGAGTAAATATGTTTGGCTTTGTGTGCCACAGGGTCTCCGTCTCAACTACCACACTCTGCCCGTGCAGCAGGAAAGCAGCCACAGACAATATGTGAGCAAACAGGCATGGCTGTGTTCCAATAAAACTTTATTTATAAAAGCAGGCCGAGGGCCAGGGTTTGCTGACCCCTGGCCTCCTGGACCCTCCCTGATCTGGCTGCTGGGATCTCTTGTGTCTTAGCTCCTGCTCTGCCCAGCTCACGGCCCTCCAGCCCCACTGCGCTCTGCTGTTCCTCAAGGCCTCTGGCGTGCTGCTCCCTCTGCTGGACACCCTCACTCTGATGGCTGCATGGTCCACTCCCCCGCTGCACTGAGTTCAGTTCCTTGCCCAGTGTCACTTCCCTGCTCCCAGCAAACACCCCCAACCCTTCCTGTCTCTTTATCCTGCTTGTGCATTTCTCAATGACCCTTATCACCATCTGACATTGTGCTGAAAATGTTATTATTTTCTTCTCCCTCACTGGACTGTGAGATCTGTGAGGGCAGGGATTTTGTTTTACGGTATCCCCAGGACCTGGAATAGTGCCTAGTATAGGAGGAGGGTCTCAAGGTTTGTGGAAGGGAGGGAGGGAGGAAGGAGAGGGAGGAAGAGAGGGAAGGAAAAGGGAGGAAGGGAGGAAGGAAGTGTTGAGGATGTGGAATTCAAGAGAGACCTGGCCCACGGGGTCCCAGCAGCCTCCGTCCTGCGGGGGCAGCTCTGTTCCCAACCAGCCTGTCTTTCCAAATGAATGCGGCCCCCTCAGAAAGCCATCAGACCCGGCCTCACAGGGGTGGAGGAGGAACCCAGCTGCCTTTGTGGGGGTCTGCAGAGCCCTCCTTACCATCGTGTTTTCATCCTTAAAGACGTTTTCCCCTTTGGCTTTAGCAAGGAGCTCCCTAGGGCAGTTCAGCTGCTGCTCAGACACAAACTCGAACAGGCTGTTCTTCCTGGAAGTGAAGAGGAGGAGGGACGGAGTACGCAGCGTGTGAGGTTCAGAACACGGGTTTGGAATCAGGCCGACCTGGGCTGGAAGCCTTGCATTACTACTGGTGGGACCTCGGGAAAGTCCTTTAGCCTCTCTGGGCTTCAGCATCCTCATCTGTAAAATGGGAAGCTAGTAAAGTGCTGACAGTTCCCTTCTATTACCTTATTTCACCCTCACCTGCGCAGCGCTTAGCAACGTGCTCAATACGAGAAACGCTTAATGCCCGGGGGCCTTCCCTGACCTGAGAATTCAGGACACGGACTCTCTGCCCAGGCAGGAATGCCCAGGTGTTGAGTGGCTACTGCTGGTGATGTCAGAATTTGAACTGAGGTCTGTCTGGTCTGAAGCCCGCCAGCATCCTGCCCCACCCCACGCTGCCTCTTCCCAGGATCTCCACTTTCCAAGTCGCTTTAAGCCCTTTTCTCCCAGCAGGTCCCTGCTCTGTGAAAGCCCCAACCCCATGCAGTTTCTCTGCAGAGACCAGTCCAGGCTGGACCCCCGACCACCCTGCCAGGCCACGTACCACCTGATGACCAGCTGGACGAAGTGCAGCAGCTTCTTCTCTCCCTTGCAGGTGGCACAGGTCCTGCTCCCCCGCCCCAAGCACGTGCTGCATCTAAGAGGGCACACCGTCAGGACCACCCAGAGAGTCATGGGGTCCCTGGGGCTTCCAGAGGTCCCCACCCCCAATCCCTCCTCATGGAAGTGGGCTGTGGTGGGCATGATTGCTTCCACCTGCCCCACCATCTACACTGCCTGCTTCTGGCAGCAGTGCCCCAATTCCCTTTGGAGACCTCCCTTCTCCCACCCAGCCCACGTGGCTCATGGGCTTGCCCTCACCCGTTCTGTGACCAGCTTGGGACCTCTGCCTGGCCAACCAGCTTATTCCATCCCCCTGGCCACAGTGGCTGATACAAAGATGGGCACATGACCCAGGTGAGTGCAATGAGATCTGCCTCAGAACTTTCCTTGAAACTATCAGGAAAGGGACATCCTTTTCTACTGAAGTTACTAAGCTTCGAGCTGTGGGTGGTCCTCTCTGCCACCACAAGAGACAGCTTGCCTGAGAATGAATCCAACACAAAGGAAAGCAGAGTGAGGGATGGAGACAGATTCCTGGTGATATTGTTTAAGCACCTGGATCCAGCTGTACCTGAAGGTACCCCAGAAATATACTCCTGGACTTTTCCATCACATGGGCCTATATATTTATTTTTTTGCTAAAACCAGTTTGAATTGGATTTCTTTCGCTTGTAAATGAAAGAAACCTTCATTTCTTTCCAAATCGAAGACCTTTACCAACCACAGGTGGCAGGTCCACAAAAGCTTCACCACCTGGCTTGTTAGAAGGATGGCCTGGGCCTCGATGAGCCAAAAGTATCATTAACCAACATGACTTTGAATAGTTTCACTCCTCTTGGTTTCTTATTTCCCTTTAAAGATTTATAAATACATTAGAGGACATGATTTACAAAACGTAATGGCCCACTATTTGCAAAGCCCTTGGAGCAGAGATTGAACATTGTTGATTGTTTCGTCAATCAACCAAACTTGCTTGACTCCTCCTCCATTCAGGCCCTGCAATGATTATAAATAAGGGTTTGCCCAGGCCCCAATCCTCAGAGAGCTAAGAATCTCACCTGGTGGGTGGTTTTCTATATTCGTTTTCCCACCACATGAGCAGGAAGAGGTCTCCTTTCCTTAAACCCGCTTCCTCCCTGCAGGGTCTCATTCATTACACTTGACCCACAGGTTGCTTGATGAGTTCCAGTCTTGTTTTGAAATATCAGGCCTCGAGGAAAGCTCACCCACTGCACAAACATTTACGGAGTACCTACTATGCACAGAGCTCTGGGGACACAGGAGTGACAAGACAGGCAGGGTGCCCGCTTGCCTTCCAGAAGGGCAGACAGTGAAAAGCAAGAAAGGCAGTAAGCGAGAGCACTTCCCCTGGGTGCTGGGGAGACCCGTTCTTACCTCCGCCTGCCAGCCCCCGTGCACAGCGGACACCTCCGGGGCTGCCTGGCTTTGCGCTTGGCTCCGCTGCAGGAGCGGCACCTCACCTGCGGACACACCAGGCCTCAGCCCCCGCTGGCCTCCTGAGGAAGCAGGCAGAGGGCAGCCCGAGACCTGGTTCAAATCCCAGCCGGGTAACGTGGGCAAACCACCTCCTCTCCCTGGGCTTCGGCCCCTTCATCTGTAGAATGGGGGCTTGGACATAGTGTAGCTTTGGACCCCTCTACATCCTAATATCCCTGTTTCTCCTGAGACATCAGCCTCTCCTGCTCCTCTCTGATCCCCAAGACCCCTGGGACCGTCCCCTGACCAAACAGCCACGGCCAGAGGGAGCAGGGAGGGGGCGGGCTGGCGAGGGACCTGGTGTTGGAGATGGGAGCTCTGTCTGGGAGAGGACCCCGGAGGTGACCCAGGCTACACTCCCACAGTTGGCTCAGAGTGGGCTCCAGAGACATTCCAGGGAAAGCCTGAGTGGGGAGGACAAGGTGCAGGGGTGGAGGAAGGAACAGAAAACACCACAAGGAGGGGCATGGCAGGAGTGAGGACGCAGGAGGAGAGAGGCCAGGCGGCCACAGCTGGGCCCATGATGGCTGGCGCGTGAGTGGGTGGAGGAATGAGCACACACAGGCAGAAGGTGGGCCTCACGAGGGTGGAAGGGCGGGTGAGCAGATAGAAGGATGGAGGAAGGCACAGCTTTGAGCGGCCAGTGTCACCTCCCAGTCACACGTCAGCATGGGTCCAAAGGATTAGGCACAAATGGGGAGGGCTTGGTCTTCCTCCCGGGATGGTTAGCAGCCCTGAAGGTTTCTGAAAAGAAGGCTGATGCCATGAGAGCCTGGCTGTGTGCTTAGGGGCCTGTACTGGGTGGAATAGTGTCCTCCCACAAACATACATCCACCAGAACCTCAGAATGTGGCCTTGCAAATGTAATTAGTTAAGATGAGGACATACTGGACAGGGTGGGCCCTAAATCCAAAGACTGGGGTCCTTACAAGAAGGCCATGAGGGGACACAGAGACACGCAGAGGGGGAAGGCACGTAACAACGGAGGCAGAGATTGGAGAGATGTAGCTCCAGCCAAGGAACGCCAAGGATTGCCAGCAGCTGCCGGGAGCTAGGAAGACGGCTTCTCCCTGAGGGCCCCAGCAGGAGCCAGCCCTGCTGACCCCTTGCTTTTGGACTTCCAGCCTCCTGAACTGTGAGAGAATAGATTTCTGTTGTTTTAAGTCACCCAGTTGGTGGTAAATTTATTATGGCAGCCCTGGGAACTAATACAAGCCCCCCCCCACCCCCGTCTATCTTGTCTCTCGAAGCCTCTGAACTTCACCTTCTCGGCGCTCGGCGCCCTGTACTACAGGCGCTGGTCCCTTGTTGGTCTCCCCTGCGGACAGAGGGGCCCCGGTGGGAAGGACCTCTTCATCCTCTTGCAGGGCCTAGCTCTGAGGAATACTCAATGTGTGTTTATAGATGGATGAGAAAAGGAGAGAAGAATTCAAATCATAAACCTTCAAAGCGGAAAAAGGACAGTAGAGACCGCCTGATCCAACCGTCCCATTTTACAGGTGGGAACATGGAGGCCCAGAAAGGGAGGATGACTTGTCTGAGGCCACGCTGCTAGTGCAGGGAGCCCCAGGCCCCCAGCCCAGCCCTCCGTCCCCATGTGGCCCTCCTCCTCCCACACTATCATTTATTCACTGGCGGCCACACACCACTCACCGTGCCGGCCCCGTGGCAGCCACTGCACTTGTAGCGCCCACGCCCACGGCATTTGTGGCATTCCTGAAAGCAAAACGCTCTCCTTGGATCTAGCTTCCCAAGCACCAGCAGCTCTTGGTTTCACCACCCCACCCCACCCCCAGAATGTCACACCCCAAATACTAGAGATGCAGCAGTTCAGGGCCAGAGTGGGAAGAGGGCCATTCCCACCCAACTAGGAATCCCAAAGGCCTTGAATGCCAAGCCAAGGAGATCATGTTACCAATTCCTCAGGGCCCCAGCCCACTCTGTCCTGGCTACTAACAAGGGGAGATGTGTCCTCCCGAGTCCCACGTCCTCACTCACTCTCCTAGGCTAACCCACAAAGGCTGGGGTCCCTCACCCATTAGGTAGCTACAGTAGGCTTTGGGAGTAGAAGCCATGAAAAATGGACAGCATTTTTTTGGAAGGCAACGAGCTAGAGATTGGATTTTAATCACTGAATCAAAATAGCTTTTCCACTCTCGAGAAGAGAATGGAACACTTTCTTGATCTCTCAACATTCTCTTCATCTTATAACGCTATGAAAACTCAGTGGGTGAGGTTACATGCTTGAATGAAGTCCTAAGGGGAAAACAAGGTGGGGAATCGGATGGAAACATAACAGGAAATATCTCAGCTGTGTTTTTGTGTTATATTAGGTTACCCTCACTTCATGTCGTGATCACATTTCTGTAAAACAGGACAGAAGTCAAATTCTGCTCCTCTGCTGACTTCCGTGAAAATTGCCAACAATGCTTTAACTCTATTTTATATCAGTCTCATTCAGCACTTTAGCTGTTTACTGTCAGGCAAAAAAAAAAGAAAAAACCACTCAGAAGGTCTAGGAATGTGAACGCTCAAGATGTAAAGCGCGTGACAATTTGGTACATGGGATCGTCCTTTTGCTATTGAATGCTCACTGATTTGCGTGGGATTTTGTCTGGGACTACATTCCGTACACTGGGCTTCCTTAGAATTAGGCTTATTGATAGCCCAGGAATGAGCCACCAGCCTGGATTTGGGGTTTCCTTTTTAAAAGGATAAAGTTGGAGGAGGCATACGATGCCTGGAGAACCAGCTCAGAGAGAAGGGCAAAGAGTCCAATAATCACGTTACCTTGACCAGCGACGAGTGAGGGACTTGGAACTTCCTGGTGTCTTCCTGAAACATTGGGGGAACCTGGACCTTGATGTCCCAAAGCCTGGGGGAGGTCCCTCTCTGTGGCCCATCTACCGAGTGGTCTGACACAGAAAGGAATCATGGTAAGACCAGCAAATGGCTACAAGGACAAGCTTTCATCTACTTGCCAAATAGTAGGGAGCTTCACTTGGTGCCAGGCGTTCAGTAGATCCTGGGGATCCCCTACGGGGATGGGTAGATAAGGGTGCCCTTGGAGTCTGTGGCTAAGCACTCAAGCGTTGGAATTGAACAGATCTGGATTTGACTCCTGGTTCTTCTATTTCCTAGCTGTGTAACTCCAAACAAGTTACTTAAGCTCCCTGACTTTCAATTTTCTCACCTCTAAAATAAGGATAATGGTGGCACCTACCATATAGGATGGTAGTGAAAACTAAATAGAAGAGGGAATGTAAATGCTTAGCACAGGGCTGGCACATGCTGAAGGATCAATAAACAAGAACTATCATCGCTATCATCACCATCCCCACCATCTTCTTTCTCGTCGTCCTCCTCTCTTCAAGGAGACAGACACGCTACAACCACGATGGTAAGCGCTTTGGACAAGAGGTGCATAAAGGGCTCTGAAAATTCAAAAGACTGACTCATTCTGCTGGGGAGGGGAATGGAAGGAGAAGAAACCCTGGAAGGCTTCATAAAGGAGGTGACACGTGAGCTGAGTCTTAAGGATGAACAGGAGTGTCAGCAGAGAAAATAGCTAGAGCATAGAGCTTCCCACAAAGAGGGCCTAACCCTCTAGTGGGGTTCAGCAGAAGGTGGGATGGCACAGCGAACAGGGTCCCTGGGGGTCTAGAGACCTAGGGAGGCACAGGGGTGGCCTGGGAGGCCTCAGCACACATGCGGCCTTTGCAGTCTAGCCCCGTGGGGCAGCACCAGCCTGTGGCCAAAGGAAATGCTAGCCTTTTTCAGGACCCTCTGCAAACCGTTTCTTGGGCCCGAAACATTTGCTAAGATCAGCACTGGCAAGTCTCTGGGATGAAGCACCACCCTCTCATCTTATAGGGGATGGGGAAACCGAGGCTCCGAGCAGAAGAGCATCTTATTCAAGGATAATGGCTAAGACACATCTTGATATTTTCCCCAGCCCCGGCATAATGTGCTCTCCATTAAACTGATTCCAGACAGGTCACTTACTAGTAAAGGGCTGAAATGTCCATTCACTCATCCTGGACTCGCTGAAGGTCTCTAGTCGATACTACAGAGGACAAAACAGCTTGTTCACACTCACGCCCTTCGGGAAGACAGAGCACTGTGCAGGAAGATGAAGCTCCCCACCTGCCGGGGCTGGGTAGAGAAATCGAAAGGCCCCTCGCACGGCACCCATGGGCTGCTTAGAACAGGCTGGTGACAGCGCTTTCTGTTCCAGATGCACCGGGACACCTGCAGGGAGGCTAGTCAGCCCCAGGAGGTCTCCCCAACAGGCTCACAGCTGGGGCGACGTCAGCTCCCCATTTCTTTACATGCGGAAACTCTCTGTGAGGCACGTTTGAGAGCAGCAACTGCCCTTTGACAGAGAGAGGCCGCTGCAATCCACTGCTCCGAGCATCCCCTTTAGAGGACTTTATCTGCCTGTTGTCAAGATCCTCCTTCTTGATCCTCATTCACAGAATCACCAAACAGGGAGGGAGCTTGGACATCACCTGGCTCCTCCTTTCACATGTGAGGAAATGGAGGGCTCAGAGAGGTCAGTTGACTTGTCCAAGGTCACACAGCCACACAGGGGCCTTTTCTCCCAGATCCCTGCTCTAACCGCTCCCTGCGAGGCTTATCTGATTCCTGTGTGATTGTGTGCTCACTACAGGATGGCTGTGCCAGTGACACTAGAAAATGTGGACTTACGAGCTGTCCCTTGGCCCTGTCAATGCAGAAGGTGACAGAGGTGCCTGCTGTGGTCTCAGAACGAGACACAGGGTTTCCCTGGAGCTTCAGGCCGAGGGGTGACGAATAAATGATTCCTTGGTGAGGATCTGCCTTGGGGGAGGCAGAGGGAGCTGGAATCGAGGGGAGTAGATGGACCTTCCTCAGCACATCCCTCCTGGAGGTGGGTTGGGCGAGTGTTTAAGGATACAAGCTTTGACACTAGCAAACCCGAGTTTGAGCCCCAGCTCGGTCACTTCGGCTGCGTGTTTCTGGGCAAGTAATTTCACCTCTCTGAACTTCCAATTCCCCCTCTTTGACTGGTGACAGTAACACCCACCGTGTAGGGTGGCTCTGAGGATTTGATAAGACAGATATATGATGTGCTTTCCATGATGCCTGGTGCATTCGAGCTTTTCAATGAAGATTGATGATCTTTATTCCCTGTATTATTGCCCACAGCTACAGACCAGAGAAGTGGCAGAGGGGCTTCAATGTCACAACCATTCACACGCACGGCCCCCGCAAGACTCCCTTCTCCCGTTTCACGTCACACAAGCCGCCCCCAGTGCCTCCGAGCCTGACCCTCCGCAGGTGCCCACGGGGCCCAGCCCCTCACCCTGTAGAGGGTCTTCGGCTTCAGCTCCTGGATGATGAGGTGGCCGGCGGCCGCGCTGCCGTAGCAGCATTTGGAGTTCACGAAGCTGAGAAGGGCTTCCCGCGCCACCTCCTCCGTCAGCACGGGGACTCTGCAGGGGACAGGGCAGAGAGGCAGGGGGTCTGGGAAGGGCCTGCCTCATTGTGCAGATGGAAACTGAGGCCCGGAGATGGGAGGGCCCTGGCCATGTCCGCAGTCGTGGTAGAGCCCTCAGGGGTCCAGCTAGGGCGGGCATCTCCTGCAAAGGGAACCGTGTGAACAGATCCCGGGGTGGGAAAGCGGCAGGTCTTTCCAGACAACAGCAAAACCGCTTTAGCTGAAGGTGGAGCTCGGGAGAAAGGCTGAGAGAATCTTAGAACCCAAAAGAAACTCTCAAAGATGAACTATGCCATTTTACAGGTTAGGAAAATCGAGGTCCAGAGAAGATGTCACACAGCTAGAAGGAAGCAGAGTTAGGCTAGACGAGGTTGCTGTCCTTGTGGAACTTGACCTCAGCCAGAGGAGCTGTGAGCAATGTTCAGGGAAGACCCCAGCCGAGAACCGTCCTACAGTGGTGCCCACAGACTCACCGTGGGCCTGCGGGACGGAGCAGCGGTGGGTGGCAAGGCAGACAAGGAATGGTCCCTTCCTCAGCCTTCTCTCTGGAGGCAGACCCCTCCTCCTGGAGGACTCTTCCCTGAGGCCCAGCTGCCATGTCCTCTCCTTAGTGAAGCCCTCCCCGCCCCAACCCCTCCAGTAAGCAGGAGGCCTCTCCTCCTTCCTCCGCCCTCGGATCGTCATATTTTCTCCATGGCAGCCCGACTCCAAATGGCAAGCCCTGTCATGCACGCTTGTGTCCCCAGCACCCCGGTGCACAGAGGGGCCTGCGCGCCTGTGGAAGCTGCTGGACCAGAATGGCTGGGACGTCTCCACAGAGGAAGCGGGGTCTGCACTGGGCATGGACGGTGGGTGTCCAGAGAGGAGAGGGGAGATGCTCCAGGCAGCAGCGGGACCAGAAGCACCCAGGGGGACACCCCTGAAGGCAGGATACGGCTGCCCAGCTGAGAGGCTGGACCCGGAAAGGGCCACTCCACCTTCTCTCTGCACAAAGCTGGCTGGAAGGCGGAGCTCTGCCCCGAGTCCCCTCCAAACAGGGAGGGTGTGGGCCTCTCCAGGGAGCGAGAGCAGGGAGCAGCAGACTTTTTCTGTAAAGGGGTAGGTAGTAAATATTTTAGGTTTTGAGGGCTGTATGGTGTCTGTCTCAACCACTCAGCTCTGCTGTCATAGTGCAGAAGCAGCCACAGACAGTGAGTACAGATGAGCGTGGCCACGTTCCCATAAAACCTGATTGATAAGAATAGGGAGTGGGCTGGATTTGGCCCTGGGGCCGTAGTTTGCAACCCCTGATTTTGACTCTGGTTTTCAACCCTGGCTTGGGAGCCAAACAGCCTGAAAGGCTCGGTAAGATACAGATTCCCAGGCTCCGTCCCTGGAGAATCTGGTCCAGTGGGTCTGGGATCCTCAACACTGTCAGGGTTGAGGTCCCCGAGGAGGGCTCTCGGGGGGCAGTGGTGGTGTGAGGATCAGCACGTGTGATCCCGTGTGACGGCTCTGTGAGGGTCGCCGGAGCACACCTGCAGCTCACCTGTGCTCCAGGAACGAGGACCAGCACATTTGCTCCTGGGGTCTCGCTGGGGCCTCCAAAGAGGGGAAGAATATCTGCCGTCCTGGAGGAGAGAGGAGGAGTCAGGGGCACAGGTATTTGTGGGGTGAAAGGAAAGACTGGCTGAATGTGAGAAAGATCAGATGAAGGAAAAGAATGGTAGTTCTAAGACCAGCATCATTCTGTCTTAAGTGGACATGGATGCGGTCATAGAATATTCATGAACACGGGGCCTATGCCCCATGTCCTCCTGTTCCCTCCCAATGGTGACAAGGGGCTCCCCATCACCCCCAGAGGAAAAGGGAGCTATCCCAGTGCTGGCCTGTTTCAGAGACATCCCCCCAACCAGCATAAGCCCCAGAAAGAGGCCACAGGAACCAAGACCCCCACAGACTTACCACCCCCTTGAAGAAGCCAGTCATAGCTGGGCAGCCTCTCCAGGAGTTCAGCTGGGGGCGCCAGAGGGCTCTCGGCCTCGAAGCTCAGGTCCACCACACCTGCGGAGGGACAGGCAATCCTGAGCCTCGGGGAGGCACGGGGTGTCAAAGGTGACTTCCCAGGAAGCTGACAAGTGAGGGTGGGTACATTACAAAAAGCCTCACAGTTTAACTAAGCCCGGCTCGCTCTGGCACCCTCAGGACACGGAACAGGTCTGCAGGGCGGGCAGGGATGGGGCGGGGGTGTGATAGCAGCAGCAGTAACAGTAATGATGAGAAAAACATTAATAATGTCAGCTCCGTTTGCTGGGCACCTACCCTGTGCCAGTCACCATGACGGGTGCTTTGCAAACATTATCATATTCCACGACCCTCGGAGATAAATACTGAATTACCAGATGGTCACACTTTGATGCTTCCCTCATCAAGTGATGGACCTATATCTCTTCCTCTTGAACCTGGGCAGGCTTGAGACGGCTTCAACCAGGGAACACGAGGGAAGCAATGAAGAGATTGCAGCTACTTCTCGCCTCTTGGCACACTCCCTCTTGAGCCCTGAGCTGCCATATAAGAAATCAGGCTACCCCACTGGAGTGACCACGTGGAGATGCCCTAAGGCTACATGGAGAGGGGCCCAGTGGAGCCCAGCCTTCCAGCCACCCCGCCAAGCCAGCAGGCATATGAGCAAAGCCATACTGGACCATCCAGGCCAGACCAGCCTAGTGAATACCTCTGAGTGACCCTGTCATGGACTGTATGTCTGTGTCCCCCCTTCATATGTTGAAACCCTAACCCCCAGTGGCAGGCATGAGGAGAAGGGACCTTTGGGAGGTGATGCAGTCTAGATGAGGTCAATGATGCTTGAGCTCCCAGGATGGGATTAGCGTCCTTACAAGAAGAGAAGGAGATCAGAGCTCGCTCTCTCTCTCTCTGCCGTGTGAGCGCACAGGAGAGGGCGGCTGTCTACGGGCCAGAGCAGGCCCTCACCAGACACCGGATCTGCTGGTGCCTTGACCTTAGACTACCCTGCCTCCAGAACAGTGAGAAATAATGTGTGTTGTTTAGGCTAGAAGCCTATGGTATTTTTGTTACAGCAGCCCCAACTGACCAAGACAGACCCTAATCGATTAAACGTGGGGCAGAAGAATCACCCAGCTGAGCCCTGCCCAAGTTCCTGACCCACAAAACCGTGACATACAGTGAAATGGTTGCCGTTTTCAGGCACTGAGATGTGAGGCAGTTTGTCATGCAGCTTCCTCTAATGGGCAGTCTTTGCCCTGGGACTCCCCACAGGCCTGTCCAAAGTTTCTCGGAGCCACGCTGTGGTCTGAGGCTCCTTCTGCTCACTCTCCTTCCTTCCTCTCCCCTCCCACAGGTGTCTGACCTGCACTGTGGTCTGAAGCTGGTCCTACACTCGCCCCCTCTCCCCTTTCTCTTCTCCAGTGTCTTCAAGGGACCTCCAGCACACCTAATGCCATCTTGGTGTCTGCTTCTCAGGTGACCCAAGTGACACACTGATATTACCCCATTCTACCAAGGAGGAGACTGAGCCTCAGAAAGGTTGTGACTCGCCCAAGATCACACAGCCAGTGAGTGATGGAGCTGGATTCCATCCAAGGTTCGTCTCTCTCCGAAGCCCATGTTCTTTCCAAGTACTTTCCATGAGGTGAACCCTGCAGAAGGATCACTCTACTGGGCGCGCACCGACGCACCGCTTGTCAAGCCATGCTGTGACGGCGTCCCATATAAATTGGAGGAAGATGGGCATGGATGTTAGCCCAGGACCAGTCTTCCTCAGCAAAAAAAGGAGGATTGGCAGATGTTAGCTCAAGACCAATACTCCTCACAAAAAATAAAACCTCATCTTGATTTTTCAGGATGGGACATAGATACACAGCCCTGAGACTCCAAGGAAGAAAGCATACTATAAGAACTGGCCTGGGAAACTCTGGACAACTCATAAAGCTCCTCCCCACACCTGTTGCCTCACCCCACCCTCCCACCTGGAGGGATGGAGGGCAGGACTTCTGATCCCATTTGACATGAGGAACCTGAGGCTCAGAGAGGTTACTCCAGTATTCCTAGGTTGCGCAGCAGTGGAGTTAGAGCAGGATAGAGGCTCATTCTTCCAGTTCCAGCCAATGGGCCACCCCTCAAGCCTGTTCCCAGAAGCCCTCCTGCTGGGGGACAAGAATCCCTCAGCTCTGTCTTTCTGGTGGCCAGTTTGGTCATGGGAAGTTGACTCTATAGAGTGAGCTGATAAACAGTCAGTGGAAGGTGATTGTGTCTGCATTAAGCCACTGAAGCAGACTCAGGGCAAACTTCCAGCAGACCCACTTTTCCCCTAGATCCTTCTTTTATTTTTTGCACCTCTTTAAAGCCTATGGCTCTTTACCTCCACAAAAATAAAAATGATTTTATTTTTTAAAATGATATCCTGTCCTTTCTAGTTTAATGAAAACAAAGTCCAGAAGAATAAGCAGATCTTCTTCTAAATTGGAACAGTCTAGGTTATCTGGAAGTGAAGACGTCAGGGGGTGAGAAAGCCTGAAATCCTGAAATACGTCATTAAATATGCCATTAAGACAAATGAACGGCCCCACTCTACCACTCCCTCCAAACCAGGAACGTCTCTGTCGTCTGACTATGAGAAACACGTATGTGTCTCTCAAGCGCTCTCTCCCTGCAGGAAACTGACAAGGGAAGCTGAAATAGAACAATATGTGTAGTAGAACGTGCCTCTCTTAGCAGGAAAACTTATCTGTGTAAGCAAATGATTCTGCAAAGAAACAGATGAGAGACCTGGGATGGACGTGGGTGTGATGCAAAGTAGCACCATCCCAAAGCTTCAACCGATGCCTGCCCATGGGTACTGAATCCCCCATAAGATCATTCATCTGCAATTACTACTCATACCTTGGTTCTCAATACTGTTCTGCTTCTAATAGCAATCTAAGCTATTTTAGTCACCAGGGACTAGGGGTTCTGAAAACATTTTCTATAAATAGCTAGGTAATAAGTGTCATAGACTTTGTGGGCCATATGGTCTGTCTCAATTATTCAACTCAGCCTTTGTGGCCTGAAAGCAGCCATAGACAATACACAATTGAATAAACGTGGATTTATTCCAATAAAACTTGACAAAAACAGGCAGTGGGTCAGATTTGGCCCTTGAGCTATATTTTGCCCACTCTGACCCAGACACTCACCTGCGTGGATGGGTTTGAGAGGGGTCAGAAAGGTAGGGGTTAGAATTTGAACCACGGCCCACGCACGTCCACTGCAGTTCCCATGAGCCCAGTTATCAGAATTAAAGATGAAGGTCAGGGTTGGGCTGTAGCCAGAGTGACTAGAGTCAGAATCCCTGAGGCACAGTGGTCGGGAACCGGGGCTCTGATACCTGGAGTCTGAGCCCCGTAATACATGACACTGTGTCAGTAACACATCCTGGCTGAACTCAACCCCCCAGCTGTGAAACGGAGTGGGTGATATTAGTGCCCATCTAATGAGCTGATGTGTACACAGCTCTTAGCCCCGAGCGTATAACAAATGCCCAGTCAATGCCTTGGCCCTGAGGAGGGAGGGTCTTCCTCTTTCTTTGTGTTCCTTTAAGCCAAGAGACAAAAGTGAAAATGTCAAGCATGGAAAGAAAGGCAAAAACATCACAGCCTCCTCTCCCCTGGGATGGCCCTCGCCCACCCAGAAGTCTTGGGTCTGCTGGGGCATCATTAGTATCCTCGATGAGAAGACAGGGAAATGCCATATGGCTGCTACATCCTGCTGGAAACCAAACAAAGCGGCAGGAAGAGGGGAAGAATGAGAGGTGGGGAAGTCAAGGTCCATCCATCAACTGGGAGCCACCCTGACCCTCCGGGGCCGCCGCAATCCGGCAGAGCTAAATTAGTCTCACCATTATGTTATGTGCAAAAATAAAGGACTTCATGCGGAACTCCAGGCGGGTGCGTCATTTCCCGTGCACACTCATCGGGCACAACAGGAATGCACACGTCACGGGCATTGTGTGATGCCCAGTGTGGGGCACTCCGAAGAGGGCCACCAGCTGCGTCACTGTTTCCACGGTGATGGGGCTGAGTTCCAGGGCAGTGGTCCAGCTGGGCCACCCCACCCTAACACACGCATCACGTCCTGGGGCTCACAAAGGGATGGTGCAGGCATATCTCTTTTGCACTTCATGACAACCACCGTTTTCCCCATTTCGTAGAAGAAGACAACGAGACTCAGAGATGTGATTTGGGGCAACAAACCACTCATTCACATCAGAGACAGAAACAGTACTTAGAACTCAGATCCAGACCCCAAGCCCCATGACCTTTCTGCTTGGCTGAACACCCTCTTGTTCCACGCAAATGGCAGCACATGGTTGCAAAGTGTTACCAAGGTAGTGTTCCTGCTCACTGGCCACCTGTATTCTTCTTTGGTATAGAAAGGAATGTTCTTATGGAGAAAGGCATAATTAATGGATAATCCCTTTAACTTTCTCTTTTTAAAATGCCATTTCCTTTGTTTCAGAGGATAAAAGGAGTCCACGTCTTCTGCCCCCAGTTCCAGATTAATCATCTTGAAAGCACTGAAATCATGTCACTTCTCTGCTCAAATGGCCCCCACTGCCATCTCGCTTTAGTTTAATATTTTGTCTCCTTCAACAGGTGTGAGAGCCCCTTTTGAACAGGGACTTCCCCCCTACACCCCCTGCATACGGCTGGTGCATATAAATGCCTTGTGATATGAATTATACTTAAAATGGTGCAAGATTCAGGTGGTCAAATTCATACAGACAGAAAATAGAATGGTGTTTGCCAGGAGCAGAGAGGAGGGGGAAATGGGGAGTTGTTGGTTAATGGGTACAGAGTTTCAGTTGTGCAAGATGAAAAGGTTCTGGAGATGGATGATGGTGATGGTTGCACAATAGTGGGAGTGTACTTAATGCCACTGAACAGTACACTTAAAAACAGTTAAGATGGCAAACTTTATGTTACATGTATTTTACCACAATTTAAAACAATAAAAAGAGAGAGAAAGAGGAGATTCAGGTGATCATAAGATACAGAAAAGAAAGAAGTCTTGTTTTGCCAAGAGGAACAAACAAATAATTGGCTACGCTATTTAAGGCCTTCCTAGCAAGATTAGAAAGGCTGACCAGGTCACCCCTAATCGTAAACACCACAGTGGCTCACTACTGCCCATGGCTAACATCCAAGCTCCTGAACTTGGCAAGTAAAGCCCTATATTGGAACAGAAAGAAAAGATTCTCCTCTGCCCACATGACGGGGCAAACGCCCTCCAATGTTGTCCAGAGCCAGGTGAGAGAACGGAAGACAGCTAACTGTGGGAGGGGCAGTGGTGGGGATCAGGAACAGAGCAGAAACAGGGAGGAGAGAGAGACACGCCTGCTTGAGGCTTCAGAGAGAAGTGTTGGAGCTTTGGGGTGGGAGCCATTGAGAAAATATTTGGGGGAGCAATATGATGCCCACCATGTGAGTGAGACCAACACGGAGAGAAATGGGGGAAGAAGACCTGGGAGAAGGTTTCCTTGGAGTCATGCAGGCCCCTCTGGTGTGCCAAGAGAGAATCCAGCAAATCTTACAATTAATTTGTAATTAGGTGGGATATACAAATCATGCTTTGTGGAAAGCATCATCAAGCCAAGACAGCACCACCTGGGGGGTGGGCTTTCTAAGAGCTGCCTCTCCTTTCCAGAGGTGACTTGTCACTTCATGACACCGATGCTTACATTTACCCTCACACATACACTGTGCCCTTTCTCCCAGCCCTTGCTCTGGCTGTTCCTGCCCATGACACCCCCATCACCCCCTTCCACCTGAGCTAGCCCAACCTCACCTCTGCAAAGCCTGCCTGGCTGTGGATCCCCTTCTCTGTGCCGGTCGGCACACTGTTGCACTCTCTATCGTCACTTTTGCCAAATGGCTTTATAAGAATTATTCGTAAAAAGCCCATTTGGGGTCTGCCTCCCCCGCTAGACTTTGAACACCTTGAAGGTAGGTCGATGACACATTCTTGTTCCTCCAGCCATGAGCACAGCTCAAAATAGCTAGCCTACTGTGTAGTCTTGGGGAAAAATCACTTAATTTTTTAGGACCTTGATTTCCTTTCCCTAAAATAGGGCTCAGGGAGTCCTCTCACTGAGAGGAGCAGATGGGACAGCAGATAGGAGAGGCCTCTGCAAATGGATCCGGGAGAGCCCTGGTGGCGTCTCTAAGCTGTAACAGGATGTCATCAACGCTTTTATTTCTTACACACTCCCCAGAGGGGATACTGTATCTTTCCATTAGGAGTCGCCAGACCCACAATCCCCTTCCAGAAAGGTGGCAGCTTGCAGGAGACACCAGATGGACCCCATGAGGCCAAGGCCTACCCAGCAGGGAGGGCCTGCATTCCTGGTGGCTGCGCCTCCATCCTAAGGGATGTGGAAAAGCACTGAGGCCCCACAGTCAGTCACCCTGCTAGGACAGCCAGCATCCTTTCCCACCAAGTTGCCGTGACAGCTTCAGATCAGTCTCAGATCTCCACAGAGCTGGTGGTGAGGAGACACTCTAATGAATAAGCCTGTGGGAGCAGAGCTGGCCTGGGTGCCAAGGAGACACTCCCATCTCCACAGCACTGGGTCACTATTAGTGACCCAGGTGTGGCCTCAGATCATTGCCATCCCTCCCCAGGCACCAACGCCCAGGAGTAAGAAGGTGTCACCTAGGTCCTATGGTCCTGAACTGGAGAAGCCCCCTCCTAAAACAACCAGAGGCTCTGGTTATAGCACATCTTACCTGAAGAGGCTCTTGCTCACCATTTCTGGGAGCGGTTTCAGTCTGTAATAAAAGAAGTTATATTACAAGAGATACGGTTTTAGAATAAGAGAGAGGATTTTTCTTCTTCAGCTCTGTGCCAGGACATCTCCCTCTAAGAGAAAAGTGACTGAAACCACATTATGTCTGGGACCACTGAAGAAACAGGACCTGGTCAAGCTAGGGAAGAAAAGACTCTGAAGGGTTCTTATTTTAAACAGGGAACACACCCATGCTGAGTAGCCTTGGGGGGTAGAATCAAGACCAGAGCAGAAGCTCCAGGGAAAGAGACATCTACTCAATGTAAGAAAGAACTTTGACAGTCTCAGCTGTAGAAGGGACCTGCCCACCACTGGGGGTGTTCCAGACAATGGTAGGAGATGCTCCTCTAGTTTGGGGTGCTGTCAGAGGCAGCCCAGCATCCGATGGCGGTGGTGCTACAAGGCCTTCAAGGTGACTTCTATGTGGATGCCACATCCCAGAATGTCCTACCCACACCTACTTTGGTCCCAAAGTGTAGGAAGATATTCTCTTTCTGAAGTTGCCCACATTATAGACTCAAAAACTGAGGGGACAACACTTTCATGACTGGGAAAGGGAACTCAACTGGATAAGTGGATGGCCATCTCTCACCTAAGAAGAGAAATTTAAATTACAGAAGTCCCAGGGCAGACTCCCTTTCTGAAACCTGCAGAAAATTTTACCTAGTTTCAGATTTCATCAATTTAGTTTCTAAAAACTTTTCTGGATGATCTCATACCTGCAGTAGATCCTAAGTGCTGACCTGAGATTTGATTATATTGGAAACCAGCACATAGGGTGACTCTATGACAGAATCAGAGTTTTTAGAATTTTAAGGGAACTAAAGAGTTCACCTTACTCTCACTTTGCTTACCAAAAGGCATGATGCCAAAACAGAACCATCACAGACAGTAATATTTTTCACTAAAAGCAGTTTAATTTTAAAGCTTTGGGGACATAATCTGATAATTTTCTAGAGTCAACATTTATTCCATGCCTACTCTGGGCTGGGGATGTATTAGGCACTTCACATCCAATTAATCCTTTACCAGTTCTGCAAGATGACACTATCTCTACTTTTATTGGGGGAAATGAAGTTCAGAGAGGTTAAGTTACTTGAGCAAAGTCACCCAGAAATTAGGAAGCAGAGCTTGGATTTGAATCCAGATCTGACCTAGCCCATCGCGAATAAGAGAAACTCCAATTATAAATTGAAAGGCTAATGAGCAGTGTTTTGAAGAAGAAAGACTGCGTTTGAATGTTAGTAGAAGCTTATTAGAATAAGACTATGGATACACAATTCCCAGTATATCAGCGATGAGATTAGGTCTTGCTCAAATACATGCTAACATTCCTCTGCACAGTCTCCCATTTCAATGTGAAAAAGAAGTCCACCAAAATCTAAAATGAGTTCCCTCTAAGATCAGCATGGGTTCATTTTCATCCCACTTCAGCTCTGAACTTACAGCTTTGAGATGCCAACGTTAAAGACAATAAAGAGTGTCGGACCTGTGAAGGACCTTCGAGGCCACCAAATTCGGTAACTATGAAAATGTACTAGTGTCACAGGCCTCTCTGGGATTCAGATGAAAGCTGCAGACCCCCCAAAAAAGCACGTGCACACAACATTTGCCCTCACCTTCATGGTCCTCAGATTAAGAACTCCTGACCCAATCTCCTTTTATAGAGGGGGAAATGGAGAGTCAGAGAGGTTAAATGACCTGTCCACAATCACACAGCCAATTCACAGCAGAGCCAAGACTTGAACCCCAGCCTCCCAATTCCCAATCTGATGCTCTACCACATTGCCCCTTCCAAATTCAGGATCAAAAATTTCCTTTTTTTAAACATATCACATTTCTTCCTAAAATACCATTTCCTTCTTCATCTCTTTAAATAGAATAGATCCATTGTATTGCCATCCCAGTAATGACAGGATGGGGTCGCCCAGCTGTTTCAGGAGCAGTCGTGAACAGCAGGCTCTGTGCTAGAGGCAGATCCTGAGTAAAGACCTTTCGTGACATTTCTTTAAAATTAACCTCATCTAAGAACGGAACCCAACTGAGATTGGAATAAGAATCCTGATATTGAGGCTTACACTGGGCTGGGGCGGGGGGACAGTCAACCAGAGAAAGGAAGGATAAAGAATAGAAGACTTGGACGGTGTTACCATGCTTAGGGAGGAAAGTTCTCATCCTGGTTTTTTACCATCCTTCTCCATTGCTCAAAGGCACATCATGAAGAACAGCCTGCAGGCTGCAACGGGCTTCACGGAAGGAAGGAAGGAAGGGATGCCCTCAGCAACACAGCCGCAGAACCTAAGGCAGCACCCAGGGCAGAGGGAGGACTGCGGCTCAGTGCCGGCTGCAGAGGTGGGTGCCCCATGCCCTCCCTGCTGTACTTACTGTCCTCGTCACTCAGATCCCTGTCCATGGTCCAGACGTCCAAACGAGGAGGTGTCTGCCCTTCCAGTGGGCTCAGGCTGCTGGGATCTGAGGGACCAGCCTCAGCCCCTCCCAGAACAGCAGGCCCATTGTTTTCGGATTTGAATACAACAGAGGGAAACATCCATGAGAAGCACAGAGTCCACCAGAGCGCCTGCTCTGGACCCGATCCACAGGGGTTCTTGGGGCTCCTTCTACTCGCCAGGCTCTTGCTGCTGCCTCTAGTCACCTGTGTCCTCACACAACCCTATGAGATGGACACCTTCGTGATGCCCATTTTTCTGAGCTGGGATTCAAACCCTCATCTGTCTCCCTCTCAAGTCGGAGCTCCTGACCACTGTGCTGTATGGTTCATCTGGGGGCAGGCGGCGGGGCGGGGGATGGGTGGTAGAATACAGAAAAATGAAATAACCACAAGGAGGTTACCTTCCCAAGGGGGAGAGAAGATATGAGTGGGATCTCTGAAGTCTTGAGCATCAACCTCCTCATCTCACTGGGGAAGACACGAGGCCACACAGCTCCTCACGGACAGAGCCAGCTCCCAACCCAGGCTGCGCGGGCCCCTGCTGTCACCACACCAGCCTAGCTCCCTGTGAAACATCTGTGGGTTTTTCAAGGTCTCTTCCTAAGCCTTTTGCACTGGGGCTCAAAACTCCTCCAACCCCAGCTGGAAGCTCACCCCTCTCCTCTGGAGTCTAAACGATGAACACCCGGACCTGGTCACCCAGGGGCAGAAGCAGAGAGTTTGTGAGCTGCACCACGTGCACTGCCTCCTTGGCAAGGACCCCTCACATCTGGGCCTGGAGTTCTCTGGCCGGGGCAGCGTTGCTCCACAAGGCAAAGCAAGTACCCTCTGCCCTGACTTGCCCAGCCCAGCAGTGCACATGGGCGTGTGCCGTGATAGCCCTCAATGAAGACCAGCTACTGCGTCCACCCGGGAAGCGTGTGAGTGGTTCGTCAGCGGCCTGTCCTGGATGGCCACCCCGCACACAGAGATGGTGCTCCACAAGTTGCCTTGAGTCTCTCTCGTGCTGTCAGCCCCATCGTTCACTGCCCACCCTCAACGCACTGCTGGGGACAATCACGAAAGCAGTAGCAATAATTTGACGAACTTAATATTTGTCATGAAGTTTCGTTTGTAAAAAACCAAGAGAACTTTCCTCCCCTTGGACGGTAACACCGTCCAAGTCTTACATTCTTTATCCTTCCTTTCTCTAGTTGACAGTCCCCACCCCCACCCCCTGCTCCAAGAGCCAAATGTAGGACAAGCTTCTTAAATACAGTCAGACAACTCAACGCCCACAAATGGGTTTTTACGGTTGGTAGGAGCACAGAATTTGTTAAACTTGAGAGTTGTATACGTTTCATTACTGCATAGACTGAAAAAGACCAAGATCCTGAGGAATGAATATAGTCTTTTGATCCCTTTATACATTAAGCAATGATTTTAAGCCCTTGTAGAAGTGTCTCCCAGTAACAGGATTACCATGTGTGTGTGTGCCTGGGTGTGTACATATTTTACCCTAAACATAATATAGGTATCTGTGTCTATGTCTGTGTAAGTATGCATCTGTGTGTGTGTGTGTATTTGAGCCAAAACATGATAGATAGATAGAGGATGGATAGATAGATAGATAGATAATAGACAGATAGACAGACAGATAGATAGATAGATAGATAGATAGATAGATAGATAGACAGATAAAAAGAAAGATAGATGACAGACTACTTGTGGCTTAACTGAAATATACCATTATTACCTGTTGAGTACTTCTTTTTTTAATACAGACACTTTATTTTTTTTTATTTTTATTTCTGTTTTTTGGGGGGGTTTTCTGAGGAAGACTGGCCCGGAGCTAACATCTGTTGCCAATCTTCCTCCTTTTTTCCTTTTTATTTTCTCCCCAAAGCCCCAGTAGATAGTTGTATGTCATGGTTGTACATCCGTCTAGTCGCTCTACGCAGGACGCCGCCTCAGCATGACTTGATGAGCAGTGTGTAGGTCTGCGCCCAGGATCCGAACCGGCAAGCCCTGGGCCGCCCAAGCAGAGCGTGTGAACTTAACCACTTCGCCACCGGGCCCGCCCCTCTTGAGTACTTTTTAAGCAACATATATGCTTGCCTAAAATCCTCCTCAGCATTCGAAAGAAACAATCATACGCAATTATTTAAATGGCAAACAGAAGGAACAGAATGTTAAATAGTGCTATTAAAGGAACCAGAAAATTTAAGGCTGCAAAAATGCAGACAACCATGAGTGGTATCTTAGGAACCAGGGAGTGCAGATCAAAGGGAGTGACAGTCCCTTGCTGCACACTAGTTAGATCACACAGGTGTGGGTTAATAAATATCTCTTAAAATGTATGGAAGTTGAACAAACCAACTGCTAGACCTTTCTAGTCTTGCTTAGGCATCAAGACAGGAATGCTGTCTGCCATGCATGCTGGAGTGACTCAGGGTAAATAATGTACCCATCACCACCCAGGATTCATGGTGTCAGCAGGAAGAGGCAGCATTAATTCTAGGACCCAGGCCAGTATGAAGTTAATACTGGTTCCCACCTCCTGCTAGTCCCAAAGGGGTTTCGGGTAAGAGAAGAGAGGCACCAACTGTATGCCAGGCATTGTACATTCATTCTGTATCAACTGCTGTTGATGCCAAGAAGGGGACTCCTTAGAGCTCTTTTTCCTGAGCCAGTTCTCAGTGGTCCATGGATATGACCCATCATTGCCCTCTCCACGCCCTGCACACGGTGAGTCCTCATGAAACATTTGTTGAATGAACGCAGCTGTCCAAGAGCTAACTCTATCCATTCATTGCTGTCTGAGAACCTTGTTTGTTCTTGGAAACAAAGTCCATGTAATCTCTTAGGTTGGTCTCAGTCTCAGGGGTATGTCATGGCTGCAAGAAACATGCTAGGGTGGTGCAGGGCTTTAGAAGGGAGACTAGAAATCACATTGTATGACTGCAGTTGAATATGGTGGTGAGGCAAATGCCTAGAGGGAGGAATCAACAAATGCCTTCAAGTATTTAAAGGGCTTTCATGGGAGGAGGCAGCAGAATTGAATCTCAGGACACTCATCCTATCAGCAGGCATGCTGAGAGCTGGTCCAGAATGGGGGACCATTTTCAACTTACCAAAGAGAAGCTCTGTGTAGCGAGTAGAGCTTCCTTCCATTGCTTTGGGTCTCTCTGAAGAATATTAAAGCCGAAGCTTGATGCTTAAGCAAAGTGGGCAGTAGTAGAACCTAACAGTTTATGGCTTCAGGGTCAGTGTAAACTGGGTTCAAAGCCTAAAAGTGGATGCTACAGCACTACAGTCCCTTGTTGGAACACTCCTGGAGGACAGGTGAAAGGGAATCCTTCTGGTGGGCAGAACTTTGAAGAGTGCACCTGGTCATGCATTTTGCTGGAACAAGAAATGGCCACAGGTAAGAGTCTACAGAATTCATAGGTTGTGCAAAATGATTTGGCTGAATGGTTAGGAACTTGGAAGGAACATCACTGGAAAACTGGTGACAAGGAGGTCTGGGGAAGAGGTACATTGACAGATTTCTCTGAATAGGCAACGAATGTGAAGATAGTCATATCCCATGTTAGTGCTCACCAAAGGGTGACTTCAGCAGAGGAGGACTTCAATAATGAAGTTGATGGCTTGACCCATTCTGTGGGTACCAGTCAGGCTCTTTCCTCAGCCGCTCCTGCCATTGCCTCGGGGGTCACAGCGGCAGGGGTTGGGGTTACGCATGGGCTCAGCAACACGGGCTTCTACTCACCGAGGCTGGCCAGGCTGCTGCTAAGGGCCCAGTCTGCCAGCAGCAAAGACCAAGACCGGGTCCCAGTATGGCACCATTCTCTGTCCCAGTATGGCACCATTCTCTGAGGTGATGGGCCAGCTACCTGGTGGCAGGTTGACTACGTCTAACCACTTCCATCATGGAAGGGGTAGCACTTTGTCCTTCTGAAATGGACACTCTGAATATAGATTTGCCTTCCCTGCACACAATACTTCTATCAAAACCACCTCCTCTGGGGGCCAGCCCAGGTGGCCTGGTGGTTAAGTTCGGTGCACTCTGCTGTGGCGGTGCAGGTTCAGGTCTGGGCATGGACCCGCACTGCTCATCGGTGGCCATGCTGTGGTGGCAGCCCACATACAAAATAGAGCAAGATTTGCAACAGATGTTAGTTCAGGGAAAATCTTCCTCAGCAAAAAAAACAAAAATTACCATCTCTGGACTCTAGCAAAAATAGACCAGAAGCCGCCTCCACTGGACAAAAGAAATTATTAGGTTGGCCAAGCCCCCAGCTTGCCAATTCCCTGCTTCTATACCTCAGTCCCCTGGTGGCCATCACCATTTTTTTCTCCTACCAAAATGGTGGCCATCCAAGACGGCCACTGTGTCTGTCCCAGGCTTCCTAATTAATTCACTTGGGCTGGCTCTGGGCTCGCGTTTCTCAGTCAGTCAGTAGGAATCACCAAGGGGTTCATTAATAATACAAATTCCCATGCTCCACCCCCAGAAATCCTGATTAAGTATACCTGAGGTGGAACCCTGGATTGTGTCTCTTTCTACAAGACCCCAATGTGACTCCAACTCCGGTGGTCTACACTTTAAAAAACACCCACTTCAGGAACCCACTCAACACAATTCAGCATTCTAACTTCTTATTTCTAACAAGAGTAATTTCAAGATACAACCCATAAAAATTGAATGAGATTACCCCCCCCATCTGTCGTAGATCTTTTCCTTTTACAGAGGGGACTCTCTTGGGCTCAAGATGAAGACGTTACAATATTGGGTTAAGTGCTATGGTGAGGTCATTCTCCTATCACCCACGGCTTTTCATTTTCCTCTCTCAAGGGCACAAATCTGACGGGGTAACAGTAATAACCACAACGAGAATTGGGGAAGCATTTTAGAGTCACAGATGTTGTCTTGGTTGGTGGCAGCTCCACCTTGAGCAACCCTAGGACACTCAAATACAAATGCCAGCTACTCCATGTCTCCTCT